CTACAAAAATGGAAAGATTATGGTCCAAGTTATCTTAAGATAAGAATATTTTCTTTTATACCAAAGATTGTAATGAGTCGTACTTGAGTAGGATTCATGTTTAGGCTCCGGGTATAAATATTGGACCCCGGCTATTGTAAAAAGACATCCAATCAATCAAATATAATTTACCTTTTTTGGCTCCGGCCAACCCTTAGGAGTAGGAGTAGAGTAGATCTCGGCGAGTTCTTCAGCGAGCAGGGCTGCATCGGTCTGGCCGACCTCTGGCTTGTCTATAAATACCGTCATGGTTTATACTTTGGTTTGTATGGTTGCATCGATCTGGTCGACTTCCACTGTGAACTTTAGTATAAGCTAGTTATCGACTCTTGTCTAGTTCAAGTACGGTTGCATCGATCCGGCCGACCTCCACTGCTCGAACTAGATTAAGGTCAAGTTATCGGCTCTATCTAAGGGTGGCGTCCTTCTGGTAGATTCATTAAGTTACCGATCTTGCTGATGTTTTCATTGTTATTAGTTTGCAACAACATCAATCCGCCCGATTAAGATTGATTTAGATCGGCCTTATATCCTTTTAGTCCGTCGTTCACTTTATTACAACACGATGTTTCTTACTCTGAGCGACAGGTTACGTTTCATCGGCTATTCTATTTCGATCTTGATCGTGCATAGTACGCGGTTAAGGCGTGTATGATCTTAAAGAGGTTTGCTGGTTAGTTAAATTTGGTCTATAGTTCGCTATTATGGCTGTAACGATCCGGTCGATCCCCGCTGATGGCACTGTAGATTTGAAGGACGCTAGTTAGTAGATTTGTTCTCGATTAGACATGACCTTAACTGTTTGCTATGCCTGCATCGGCTAAATAGTCGGTCGCCTATGCTTTAACGACTATAGTGTGTCCATGATTCTATTAAGCGTGAATAGATCTGTGTACTTTAATGGTTTGATTTGTTGTCTTTATCGCGGTTGCATCGATCCGGTCGAACCCCACTGTTAGAGATAGTAGGTTAAGTCCGATAACTCCATAGGTTTGTTCATATGAAATAGTCAATTGTTCACACGCTGTAGTCCCTTTTCACCTGAATCAGCTATTTTAGCCGATTCATCTAAGCCTTCACGTATAGCATGTTTTTCAGAAAGCCTGTCGAAGTATAGATGGTTTTATAAATTCTTCGGTTTTAGTTTGTTATTATCATCATAACTGCCATCTATCCGGTCGAATCTCACTATTGATGGTAACAGATTAGATTCAGAGCATTTGTGGATCCATTGGTATTAGACAGTCGATTTGTTTGCATGCTATATCTTTTTCTTGATTTAGATTCATCGGCTCAACGATTCATATTGGTAATATCCATCTAGCTGATGATCTCATTTACGTCTGTGGGCATTATACCTATCAACATAAAACTAATCGCGATCTATAAGTTTTACTGTCCGTAACAGTCGATTTCTGTGCGTATCGGCTATTTAGTCGATTTTCCCATCTGGCTGCTCCCAAAGCGGCACACTTGGAATTGTCTGGGCAAAGGCCGGCATGTTCTACCTTAAATTACTGATAAACTTTCTCTCCTTGTCAATTACAAAGTTAAATTGACTGACACGTCTCGGGAGGAATTCGTAGGATCGGTTACCCCTGCGTGAAGCCAAGCGGATCTCTAGCTCCATCGAGCAGATCCTTCCGGCTCGCCGTGTGTCAATGCATTTTCGTGTCGACAAAGTGATTCTCTATTAATTCTGTGAAGTAATTCTCTGAAATGAACTAAGAGGCTGGGAGTTGAAAAAAGTAGCTTATCCGAATTCTGTGAAGTGATTCTACATCGTAATTTTGAGAGTTTATGCTAAATAATCAAAGAGAATCACTTTCAAGCACGGAATCACTTTTGTCAAAGAATCAACTTCCATAGAGAATCAGAATCAGGTGAAGTTCTTCCAAACTAGCTCTTATCTTAACCTTTTGTGCTAATATATAAACCATTCAACTTTTACGAGAAAGAAAGGGTACTATATAGATATGTTGCTTCAGCTTTTGTGAAATACCTAGTTTGCTGAGGTCAGCAAATAAACCATCCAAGATGAACTCGACACCTGTGCACCACCACCAAAAGAGCAATAAACCATCCAAGACGAACTCGACACCTGGGTCAGCAAATAAAGAAAAAAAATAAAATTTGAATCCTTTGCATCTCTTTCTCTACCCCTCACTTAGACTTAGGTACATGGGTCAGCAAATAAAATTTTGCATGCATGACAGTTCCCTTGAGTAGTTAGCTCTTAGCTCACACAGCCTCACTATATAGCACCACCTAGCCTATAACCACACTCACTTGTCATGCATGTCCCAAAAACAATCATGCATTTTAACCACAATGTCAACGAAAAGTCACCAGATTAATTAGACACATCAAACCAAACTTGTCATGACCTACCTTTTTCAAGCAGGATTGTGCTCATGCATGTGTTCATGCATGCTTCCATATTATCTTGAGCATGAGTTCCTGTAAATTGGAAAACAAAGAAACATTCATTTGGTTAGAGAAACAGAGCTAACATCATGGTTAATTAGACAAACATTCTTCAGATAACACCAGATCAAAGCAACAGTAAGATACTGCCTTTTGCTAATTAAATACTTCTGCCAAGACAATCAAGCATGTTGGGACAAAGGTAAGGTCAACTCTTGTACCCCAGCTGAAGCCTGAAGCAAACTTCAGTTTTCTTGGGTTCCTGAAAACCCTGGTTTCTTATTGGAAGATTCCACGCACACATGAACAGGATGCTGGTCTCAAGGAACTCTACCACCCTGTCCACATTATCATATGAGCTGTACAAGTACTGTATTATTAGGGCACATCACACACTGATGGCAACTTGTGACTCACTGACTTGTGACTGATCATGTAGCAGATAATAGGTGAATCTTACTAGTATTATATAGCCTCCACTTTATTTTGTCTCAGTCTGGATACTGGGGCCATGTGGGCTTTTGCATGCAGTAGTAAGAACTGCCGGTGGCCTCTGCTACTTGCAGAGAGGTACAGTAAAAGGAACTTGCATTATATTTGCAGTTTACATTAACTGCAAGCAGTTATGCTAAAGAATGTTTTTTGGTAAGAACATTTGTGGTCAAACCTAAAAATGCCCATCACCGCTTGGAGATACTACTGCTCAGGATATGTTTGGGTCTACTAGTGCTAATAATAGTTACTCCCTTTGTCCTAAAATATAAGTAATTCAAGTTTATTTTAAGTCAAACAGTGCTAAGTTTAACTAAATTTATAGAAAAGATGAATAATAGTTATGATGAGAAATTAGCATCATTGGATACGTTGAAATATAGTATTATAATTTATATTTTTGATGTAGTAGATGTTAATGCTCTTTTTAATAAAATTGGTCAAACTCAGCATAGTTTGAGTTAGGACAAATTTAGATCTCTTATATTTCAAGATAGGAGGAGTAGCTAGCTAATAGTTCGTTCGGCTGACACAAAATTTTCTCTGTTCATGGCTGAAAACACTGTAGCAGCTGAATTTGTGTGAGAGAAAAATACTGTTCTGGATGAAAAAATAAGCGGATCAAGCCAGGTTTTGGGTCAGCCGAACAAGCCCATTGGCTAACTATTAGCTAACTAATTATTAGCATGATCCATTTGGATCCACTTAGTAATAGCAGCCCAACCCCTCACCTGAACCAACTTAATAGTGGAACTAATAGTTAGCGTCCTCTTAACTAACAGCCAATTGGTCTAATAAACGTTCTGTTTGAATCCACTGGTACTAATTTTAGTTGCTAACTATTAGCTCTAGTGCATCTAAGCAGGCTTTTAAGCTCACATGCAATGCAGCTAAAAACAAAGAGAAAGAGTAGCTTCTTTGGATATACTAATACACAAGATAAAAATGGCCTGCTATTAAAAGCTGCAGTTTAGCATCCATTGGAGTTTCCTGAAAGGCATCACCAATGCCCCCTTTACCAACTACGTGGAAGACGCTTGTATACACAACATTACACACGATTTCCACAGCTGGTTCTCTGTAGCTTACGCACAAGCAATTTTATTGCTCAAAGTTTTTCTTTAAAAAGGAAAAACGCCACATGCACATTCTTCCAAGAGGTGCTGCCTTTCCACCTTAAATCCTGTAAAGGAAATAACACCCCTGAACACCTCCAATGAACCTATAAGCAATCATTCTAAATTCTTTAGACAGTGACCAATGCACACGGGAGAAAACAAGCACATGAAGGGATTAGCAAAACGGCGCAAGGAAGTTGCTGGGTCCTTCTCGTCTTCCCCCAGACAGCAGACAGCTGAGCTAGAGCTGGACTGGCAGTCTTGGCTCTGCCCTCCCAGTCCCAGGGCAGCAGAACCAAATTTTATTATTTGTCCTTTTTTTTTTTTTCTATTCCTTTTTTAACTGAACAACACACTGATAAATACAATTAGTTGTGACACTTGCTACACCAGTTACAGGATCACAAGCCCACACAAGTCACACACCCCACTGGAACGCCTCTTGTACTTTTGCTTCCGTGTGCTCAGCAAATCAGCATTCAGCAAGCCTCCCCTGGACAGTTCTTGAGCAATGCATTTTTTTCTTTTCAGGATAACTTTTTGCTTTAAACTTTTTTCTACTCAGATTTCTTTGGTGAATTGACAGTGGTGCCCCTCCTCTTACACCGCCTATATATCCACTCTATCCCGCTCCATCGCTCTGTAGCTCTTGCAGTCTTGCCTCTGTTTCCCTCCGCTGCTCTCTCTGAGCCTTGCCCTCCGCATGCTCTCTATGCTCCCCTTCCGTTCATAGCCTCGGCCTTCGTCTCCCTCCATGGATCCGCGCTAAATGCATTGCGAGGTTCCAAATTGGTAGCATTTCTTCCTGCTCCATCTGCCGCAAGATGTAAGCAGGCTCTCACTTGACACTCCGAGTGGCGGCCATTCAGAATATACCCTCAGATCTTCTTGTCTGAGAAAAGCGACGCCCTTTTGGCCCGAGCAATGGAGGAGAGCTTCGTGCCCTTGCGGGGCATCAAGGACGACCTCCACGGGAGGCTCGCCTGCTACAAGCAGGATTGGACCGGAGGGTTCCGTGCCGGTATCAGGTACGAACTGAAAGCTAATCTAATCTTTCTTCGCAATCTTGCATTGTGCTGTTTAGGATTAGAAATTGAGGCTTTTATAAAAGTCAGTAGTTACTCGTAAGCCATTAAAAAAGTTCGAGTTATCGTATGTGCCACGCTACGAACTCTTGTGTTGTTCACGCCACTTCCGTCAGATTTGGCTTAAATGGTGTTAAACCGCGAGTATGAAAAATCGAAAATATCCTCAGATCTGAATATGCAATTAATTTTTTTTAGTATCTCAATGATCTCAAATGAGAAAACTCAAAACTAGAAAGTTGTAGATCTCGACAATATCTATAATTTTTGTATAAAAATTATCTTTATTATTTTCGTACAAAAAATATATGATTTGATATGATTAATATGTCTTAGAAAAGTCACATTTTTTTTTGTACGGAATCAAATGAAGATAGTTTTTATATAAATATTATAGAACTTTCTAGTTTTGAGTTTTTTTATTTGAAATCGTTAAGATGCTAAAAAAAATTAATTGCATATTTAGACACGAGGGTATTTTTGACTTTTTACATCCGCAGTTTGACACCGTTAAAGTCAAATTTGACGGAAATGGCATGGAGGGCAAAAGAGTTCAGAGCACTATGAAAACTCAACTATTTTTAATGGCTTGTGGGTAATTACCGACTTTTATAATGGCACGCTGGTAAAAGCCTCTTAGAAATTCGGTATCACCATGGTGCCAGAATCTTGAAACTGGCAGCGATGGAGATAGTCCTAGTCCTTTTCTTATTGTTCTGAAGTTTGTTCTTGCCTGGCCCAAGATCTTGAAAAGGAGTGATTTTTTGGGGTGTTTCAGGATCCTGGCGCCGACCACTTACATATTCTTCGCGTCTGCGATACCGGTGATATCGTTCGGGGAGCAATTGGAGAGAAACACTGGTAAATGGGGGATTCAAAATTTGTACTTGGTGGTGTTAGTTTCAGTACAGTGGCTGAGGAGAGGAGCTTATTTGTTTTGGGGATACAGATGGAGTCCTCACAGCAGTGCAGACGTTGGCATCCACTGCCGTGTGCGGCATAATCCACTCCATTGTGGGAGGGCAGCCCCTGCTGATCCTGGGAGTTGCTGAACCGACGGTGCTCATGTACACATTCATGTTCAACTTTGCCAAGGACAGGCCCGACCTCGGACGGAATCTGTTCCTGGCCTGGACCAGTTGGTAGGTCATCCTTGCGGCACTGACTGAGAATTTTATTTCGGATTGGTTGGGTACAATTATGGCATTGTTTCAATTGGTTCTTTTTTTTTTGGTGCCATGTATGTGTGCAGGGTTTGTGTGTGGACTGCCATCCTACTGTTCTTGCTGGCCATACTAGGCGCATGCTCCATCATCAACCGGTTCACACGCATCGCTGGCGAGCTGTTTGGGCTTCTGATTGCTATGCTCTTCATGCAGCAGGCTATCAAGGTTGGTGAAAACTGCAGGCCTTTTCAAGCCATTGCTGCTTTCCAGGCTTGAACCCCTGTGCTGATGCAGAAACTTTTTTCTAAGGCGTGCTGCTGCTGGACCATAGAGCTTTATACCAAACACCAGTTGCCTTGCCTCTCGAAATTGTGTAGTACTCCAATCAATCTGAATGCAACTAACTAGTGGAGAATCTAGTAGGTTGGTCAAAGGCATGTGCAAGTGCTGAAAAGCACATGGAAACCAATGGAGATGTCTCCAGCTTCTATTTTTGTGCCATACTGCCATTGGTCACTAGTGCAACCAAATATTTCAATGTTCTCAGTTTGGAACAAAATTAAAAAGTAGATAAAATCAAGAATGCTTGTTTGGAAAAAGGTTCCTCAATTTTTTTTTTAAAAAAACTACCATACATGTGTACTGAAGTAATTTGCAAGCTGACTTCTCTGTGGCCATCTGGATGTGTAAGCTCACAAATCTGTATGATGGGCACAGGGACTTGTTGACGAGTTCCGCATTCCTGAGAGGGAAAACCGAAAGGCACTAGAGTTTGTTCCATCATGGCGGTTTGCCAATGGAATGTTTGCAATTGTGTTGTCGTTTGGCCTTTTACTCACTGCCCTGAGGAGCAGGAAGGCACGGTCATGGCGCTATGGAACAGGTATGCATCCGAAAACTGTTCTTGTCCTGCAGATGCTGTGAGCTATAATACTATATATAACTCTCTTTCTCTCTCTCTCTCTCCCCACCCTTTGTGTTGCTTATGGCTGTGAAGCACCTCACTTAGTCTAATACCAAATTTCTGATGATAATACTCTTGTACCTAGGTTGGCTGCGTGGCTTCATCGCTGACTATGGTGTTCCACTGATGGTGCTAGTTTGGACTGGAGTGTCTTACATACCTTATGGAAATGTACCAAAAGGAATTCCACGACGCCTTTTCAGCCCTAATCCATGGTCCCCCGGTGCATATGACAATTGGACAGTCATCAAGGTATTCCAACATTCACAAAAAGATTCTAAAACATTATTTTTATTCATGTGTAACAGCATTACCTATCGATTAAGTTTTTCCACATCAATCAAATGAGCAGGATATGACACAAGTTCCACTCCTCTATATCATTGGTGCCTTCATACCAGCAACGATGATTGCTGTTCTCTACTACTTTGATCATAGTGTTGCATCTCAGCTTGCTCAGCAGAAAGAGTTCAATTTGAGGAAACCTCCATCCTTCCACTACGATTTGCTTCTCTTAGGCTTCCTGGTATGCCCAGATGTGCACAATTCTTCAGTACTAAGTTTTGGTATTTTCTATACATTTTGATAACATCAATGTTTTGAACTGTAGACGTTAATGTGTGGCCTTATTGGTATCCCTCCATCAAATGGTGTCATTCCACAATCACCCATGCATACAAAGAGTTTGGCTACTCTCAAGCACCAGGTGAGTTATGAAAGTTTTAAATAGTACTTCAAAATACCATGTGAATATCTGATTTCTCACTCACATGGCAAACATTTCTGTTCAGCTGCTTCGTAACCGTCTAGTAGCCACTGCACAAAAGAGCATGAGCCAGAATGCGAGCTTGAGCCAACTGTATGGCAGCATGCAGGATGCTTATCAGCAGATGCAGACACCACTAGTTTATCAGCAACAGTCTGTCAGAAGAGTACGTGTTCTATTACCCAAAACTTAGTACTTCACAACACTTTATTCAGACTATTTCTTTATATTAACATTTTCTATACTTTTTCAAAAAAAATAGGGCTTAAATGAGCTCAAGGACTCAACAGTCCAGCTAGCTTCGAGTATGGGTAACATTGATGCACCAGTTGATGAGTCAGTCTTTGACATAGAGAAAGAAATTGATGATCTGCTGCCCATCGAGGTCAAGGAGCAGCGCTTGAGCAACTTGCTACAGGCTTCCATGGTGGGGGGTTGTGTCGCTGCTATGCCTCTACTTAAGAAAATCCCTACATCTGTCCTCTGGGGCTATTTTGCCTTCATGGCCATTGAGAGCTTGCCTGGTAACCAGTTTTGGGAGAGGATCATGCTGGTCTTCACTGCTCCCAGCAGAAGATACAAGTAAGTTTATTTTATCTCAAAAGATTAGTTTGGCTTTGGCACCTCTGATTCTGTTTTTGCATATCCACAAACTGCGGACCAATGGATTCAAGAAACAATATATTATGCTAAATACTGTTAATTTAGCTGCTTTGGAAGACTGAAATTCTTACCATGTACTGTAACTATTTCCCAGGGTGCTTGAAGAGTACCACACCACATTCGTCGAGACAGTGCCATTCAAGACGATAGCCATGTTCACATTGTTCCAGACAGCGTACCTGTTGGTCTGCTTTGGAATCACATGGATTCCAATAGCTGGAGTTCTTTTCCCCCTCATGATCATGCTCCTGATTCCAGTCAGGCAGTACATCCTCCCCAAGCTCTTCAAAGGTGCACATCTAACTGACCTAGATGCAGCTGAATACGAGGAATCACCAGCTATACCATTCAGCCTTGCTGCGGTAAGTTTAGAAAGACATCATCTATTCTGAAAAATAAATGAGTCTTGCTCATCAACATGGTATTTTGGACTAGAACATTTTTAGTCATGTTGCATTTCCCTGAAACTCAAATCTCATGTATTTCAGCAAGACATCGATGTCGCATTGGGACGCACCCAGAGTGCAGAAATCCTAGACGACATGGTCACGAGAAGCCGGGGTGAGATCAAACGCCTCAACAGCCCGAAGATCACCAGCTCAGGTGGCACACCTGTGGCAGAACTGAAAGGCATCCGCAGCCCATCCATTTCTGAAAAAGCATACAGCCCTCGTCTCACTGAGCTCCGGCATGAGCGAAGCCCTTTGGGAGGGAGAAGCAGCCCTAGGACGCCATCCAAGTTGGGTGAAGGCTCAACGCCAAAGTGAATAAAGCAATGATGCATTGCTTAAGCTATGCAACTACTGGCCATCAGTAATATGAGTGATTTAAAAGTGGTTTCAGTGTTAGTATCCTTATATGAAGATGTCCTCTGATGAGATTACTATTTATGTGTATCTCTAGCCTCTTTTTCTTCTTTTTTGTGTTCTCCTGATTAAAGGAGTACTATACCTGTAATCTCTGAACTAGCAGAATATTAGAGTAACTACTTGAAAAATCCTGTCACTGGCACATTATCATTCTTTCATTGTTTATAATCATTAATATATGTACATGAAATTGGTGGAAATTATGCGCATGCATTTCCATTGAACTCAAGCATGTATCTGGATTCTGGAATACTCTAGTGCTCACAATATTCTATTGATGATGGTGCTGAAGCATGGAACTTTAGACCCTGCTTCCCTTCTCAATTTGCACATATGGAACTTTAGACCCTGCTTCCCTTCTCAATTTGCACATATTTTGTTAGTTACAAGTGTTCTTGCTTTTTTTTTTTACTTGAATTCGTAATATAAAACTATGCTATAATAGTCAATCAATTGATGTAGCAAATCCGGAGATGCAAATGTAGCTGAATTGGTGATGCGCTGATGCTCATCCGATTGAGATTACTTTTGCGTCAAAATGTATAGTGAATGTAAGATTCAATGATCAATTCAGAACGTAAAGTTCTCTTGAAGTGCCCTGTGCTGATGCAAATCTCGTTAAATTCAGTGAACTGAAAGTTGAGAATAGGGGAAACGATGTAATATACACTTTATCCAGAGAAGTTTTTTACTTGAGAGCTTCATCGAGAGATGCACATGCAAAAAACAAGATAAGGTCAGAAATGACTGATTCAGACAGAAAGATGACTGCATAGGGAGATACCAATCGTCTGAGTCTTCCACTCTACTCATCTGTAGAGGCATGCCATGCTGGTTCCAGCAGTAATTTGTTAGGCACCATAACAAGCTGTAAGGCATGGTATGATTGTATAGGAGACCTGCATGGTCAATGTTCTCAATGTTATGATGCCATGTACATCTGCTGAATACAACCTTAAAATTGTACTTGCTCATGTTACTATAGAGGGAAAGGCTGTTTGTGGTGGGGTTTCATCTGATGCAAGGAACGAAGGGAACAACTGCAACACATGCCTGCAGTAGGTAGAAAGTGTAGAGACTTGAGGGTGGCACCACAGCACAGCACAGCTACATTCCATCCCTCTTTCAACTGCAGCCATGATTCCAGCTTTAGAAGACACCCCTGCATTGGCCCTGAAGCATTGACCTGCTGAAGCCTACATGCCATAACCACCATAGAATTCCCTCAGGATGCAGGCTCACCTCATAGGAGCTGCTGCTGCTGCTGGGCTAAACGACACGCCCATTGTCGGCAATTATGGTCATTCATCCTCCTTTTTCGCATCAATGATCTTCCTTGAGAGCCCGTGCCTTAGGACTGATGATGGAGTAGCTGATACAGGCGATGAAACTGTGCTGGAAAGATGAACAAGGAGTGATACCAGCCACAAGGGTCTAGGGAATGATGCGAGGGTTGAAGAGAAAGTAGTGGCTGGAATTCAAAGGCATGGCGGCAAAAGGCGCGATGATCTTCAGGTCCATGTCCACGGATGAGGATGACTCCTGGATGAAAATTCAGTGAATTGAGTGAAGCTCCAGGAACGGTGTGTTGTTTGTTCCCCATCATTTGACCTGCAGACAGCAAGTGGTGTGCCGTGCTCTGACACGCAATTCCTGAAATGGCCCCCAGTTCCTAGGGCCACATCACATTCCCTCTACTCCACATCCACTGAATTCTTCATCATCCCCTTCAGTTACCTTTCATGCATCCCTCTACCATCTCTTTCGATGGGACGCCATTTGTTCTGGTCTCACTTTTCTGGATTCTAAAGAGCAATGTGACAATTTCATAGGGATGTAGATTGCGCCAGTTAAAAGATTGAGACATCATTTCCATGCACATACATCATCCAGCATCTGCAGATGTGACCATGAATTATTGGAATGCAATGTGTTGCTCCACTAAAACATGGACGGATTTTCCGGAGGAAACGAACGGCTGAAACACTTCTGACATCTGCAGAACTGGACAACACTTCAACGAAAGAATGAAGGCAGCTGCTCCCTTCAGTCTTAAGCACACTGCAAGCAATCATAATATCAAATCATACTTCTGCCAAGCTAAGGAGACATGTTCTTTGATTGCAAAGCTTTCGCTGCAAAAACTGTTCCCATGCTGCAGAGCATCAGGTGGGATCCCTAAAACATAAAGTACTTTTGGTGATGAAAAAGTTCAAACGAAAAACCATTGCCACAAATATGATCAGTGTGCACTTCTGCAAAATCATGGCTGTGGTTCAGACACAGACAGAACCAAGAAGCATGGTAAAACTCACCAATTATTACAGTTTATCAATCCTCTCGTGAAAGCTGTGGAGTATCAATACATCAACAGCAAAAAGAAAAAGGTATTATCCATAACCACTAGGGAAGAGAGGAGCATTCTCAGTCACCGAAGATTTCTGTCTCCTGGCTATGAGTAGGATTACATTTATAAGGTATCCAAAATAATTTGTAGTCACCATTTATGGGACAAATGCATAAAAGAAAAGACAGCCAAACTCATGGTTCCTGAAAATCATTGCTGTAATAGCTCGAGTACTCAGCGATCCAAAGGAAACATTTGCAGGTCCTCGTACAATAGAAGTGGAATAGTTCAAAGGCAACAGAGTACATTGTTTTTACTATTATTCATACAGCACATTGTAAGTCTAGTTTCAACTTCCGTTTTTAACCTGAAAATTTGCGTCCTGTAATCTTCTCAGACTCATACAGAATATGATTGATAAGGCCCCTTGCAGCACTGCATAGCAAGAAACAATTTCATAAGATATGCTTTGACCATGATAAAGTACTGGAAGATAAGATGGTAAAATTGAAAAGAAAATTAAAATTTTACACAGGGAGTAACTTACTCATCCTTCATTTTCTGTATCTTCTCTGGATCAGTTTCATGCATATTTTTCTTGAATTGTTGCCTCACCATGGTGACTAAAAGCTCTGTATTGTGTTTCTGGATTACAAAAGGCTGATTCAGTCTATTATTACAAAAAAAACTTTTCACAACTTCAAGGTGGGAGCAATGGTAATTTTTCAGACAAAAAAATATGCATACCTGATGCCCAATATACTTCGCCCTCCGTAAGCATTCACGATATAACTACAGCATGAAAAAAAAAAGAGAAAATAGTAAACAGAAAAAAAAAGTTTTTTCCTCATCAGCTATGATTTTGTTTGTTTCATTCATGACAAATTTTCATAAAAGTAACAAAGAACTAGGCTACAGGATGCATATTAGACGTGTCTTCTGGAAAAGCTGGAGCTAGAATTTAGGGTAACTGATCCAAATGAATGAAGCCTGATGACTGACTATTCATTAACAGTACAACAGTACAAGTTGATTTGAAAGTTGGTCGCCACACATAATACCAAGTAGAACATACCAAAAAGCAAAGGTGCAAAAGGAGCCTTACCCTGAGCACATTATCAGCAAGTTCTGGAGGCAAGGCTTTCTGGAGTGAAGGCATCTTCTTTAATGTTGTGCTATGCTAGTCAATAAAAAGGTATAAGAAATTGCTTTCATCAATAATATGCACATAAACGATGGTTAGAAAAAGAAAAGAAGTCAACATGTGTACTTATATGTGCCTATGGCCAACAAAAATAAGAAAATACAACAACAACAATAACAACATAGCCTTTCAGTCCCAAGCAAGTTGGGGTAGGCTAGAGTTGAAACCCACCAAGAGCCTCAAATCACGGTTCAGGCACTTCAATAGCTGTTTTCCAAGCACTCCTATTCAAACATAGATCTCAAGATATATCCCAAGTTTTCAAATATCTTTTTATTGCCTCCCAACATGTCAATTTCGGTCTTCTTCTACCTCTCCTCATATTATTAGCTTGGTTTAGGACTCCACAATGCACTAGTGCCTCTGGAGGTCTCCTTTGGACATGGTCAAACCACCTCAACCGATGTTGGACAAGCTTTTCTTCAATTGATGCTACCTCTAGGCGATCACGTATATCATCGTTCCGAACTCGGTCCATTCTTGTGTGACCGCAAATCCATCGCAACATACGCATTTCTGCAACACTCAGTTGTTGAACATGTCGAATCTTTGTAGGCCAACATTCTGCTCCATACAACATAGCCGGTCTAATCATCATTCTATAGAACTTGCCTTTTAGCTTTTGTGGTACCCTTTTGTCACAGAGAATGCCAGAAGCTTGTCGCCACTTGATCCACCCTGCTTTGATTCTATGGCTAACGTCCGCATCAATATCTCCATCCCTCTGTAGTATCGATCCCAGATACCGAAAGGTATCCTTCTTAGGCACTACTTGACCTTCCAAACTCACATCTCCCTCCTCTTGTACAACTCCGCCAAAGTCGCATCTCATGTATTCAATTTTAGTTCTGCCCAATCTAAAACCTTTAGACTCAAGGGTCTGCCGTCGTAACTCTAGTTTCCTATTTACTCCCGCCTGACTTTCGTCCACTAATACTACATCATCAGCAAACAACATATACCAAGGGATAGCACCTTGTATGTTCATGGTAACCTCATCCATTACTAAGGCAAAGAGATACGGACTTAAGGTGACCCTTGATGAAGTTCAATTTTAATCGGGAAGTTATCTGTGTTACCATCGTTTGTTCGAACACTAGTCACAACATTGTTATACATGTCATCGATGAGGGCCACGTACTTTGATGGGACTTTTTGTTTGTCCAAAGACCACCACCTAACATTTCTTGGTATCTTGTTGTAAGCCTTCTCCAAGTCAATGAAAACTAAGTGGAGGTCATTCTTCTGCTTTCTAAACCGCTCCATAACATGTCTTATTAAGAAGATTGCTTCTGTGGTTGATCTTCCGGGCATGAAACCAAATTGGTTTGTTGATATCTACGTCGTTCCTCGCAGAGCTGCTCGATGACTCTCCCATAACTTCATAGTGTGGCTCATCAACTTAATTCTCTGATAATTAGTACAACTTTGGATATCTCATTTGTTCTTATAGATTGGTACCAATATGCTTCTTCTGCACTCCTTAGGCATCTTGTTCGATCGAAAAATATTGTTGAACATCTTGGTTAGCCATACTATAGCTATATCCCCGAGACATCTCCACACCTTGATTGGGATACCATCAGGGCCCATCGCTTTGCCCCCTTTCATTCTTTTCAAGGCTTCTCTGACCTCCGATTCTTGAATCCTCCGCACAAAGCGCCTGTTAGTGTCATCAAACGAGTCATCCAGCTAAACGGTGGTGTTCTCGTTCTCACCATTGAACAATTTATCAAAATACTCTTGCCATCTATGTCTGATCTCATCCCTCTTCACCAAGAGCTGCTCCCTCTCATCCTTTATGCACTTGACTTAGTTGAAGTCCCTTGTCTTCCTATCGCGAACCCTAGCCATCCTATAAATGTTCTTCTCTCCTTCCTTCGTACTCAAACGTCGGTAAAGGTCCTCATAAGCCCGCCCCTTTGCCTCACTCACTGCTCGTTTTGCAGTCTTCTTTGCCACCTTGTACTTCGCTATGTTGTTTGCACACCTGTCATGATACAAGCGCTTATAGCACTCCTTTTCCTTAATAGCCTTTTGCACATCTTCATTCCACCACCAAGTATCTTTCGAGTCGCATCCGCTCCCTTTGGTCACTCCAAGCACCTCTGAAACAACCTTCCGAACGCACGTTGCCATCTTCTCCCACATGCTGTTTGCATCGCCTTCATCATTCCAAGGGCCCTCTTCAATGACCTTTTTCTTAAAGACCTTTTATGCCTCCCCTTCTAATTTCCACCACTTCGTTCTAGCAACCCTAGATTGTTTGTTCCCACGAGCTTGCACCAGAAAGCGAAAGTCAGCCACCACTAGCTTGTGTTGAGCGACCACACATTCTCCAGGTAACAACAATAAGAAAATGTGGCCAGAAAACTTTGGTCAAATAATGTTTAAAGCGCACAGTAAAATTGTAAAACATATTACCACAAGAGGACAGGAAAGAATATAAAACTCACCTGTTGATGTACACATGCCACCTATTTTATCAACAAAATAAAAGAGGTGGGATGGAAACTTGTCCTAAATGCTCGCAAAGTTACATCCATCCAAAGGGCCATAGTTGCTTGTGCCAAAATATGATATTTCCAAGAGATAGCAGAGGACCATCCAACCAATACATGGGCCTTCCATGCGCCGCCTCCCCCCCCCACCCCCCACCCCCTCTCTTGATCAATGCAAGTAGACTGCAATATCTCAACATTCATGAAGTCGCCTAGGCCTCAGGTCAGGCAACTACTGAACGAAAAATAGGCAGCCCAATAGAAGACGTCATTGGACTTATTCAAGAAGATGTCTTCCTTCCTTTATTTGTGTTGATGAATTGTTAACACCAAAAAAGAGCAGCTACCATGACTACTTAACCAAAAAAAAAAGGATTCTCAAATACGCAGGAAAGCTGCGCATCACTGCATTAAGAAGAGAAAAAGTACAACAGACCCCAACACCCACACACTCAACATAACTCACAATGGCACAACACAGTTCCGTAAACACAAACAATTACATCACATGTGCGCCACTAATAAGAAATGAACTCTACCAAAACGACCACACTAACTAGCTCAATGCAGCCTCAAGCTGTGCCAAGCCTCTAGGCCCTGCTAAAACCCAGAGCTGCCCTTCCTATAGGATCTGCCGGAGGACTAGTTAACACACTAGGGCAGCTCCATCGAAAACACACTCGTTCCTGTGAAGCCATAATCTCCAGGCTGAAGGCTCGAAGTGTGATCAGAGTGTTCAGACCACCACCAGAAGCACCAGGAACGAAAGCATTTCACCTTATGCCACCATCCACAGAATACATCATCACCAGGTTGTCGAGAGAAGTCAGGAGGCCAAACTGATTGAAGGGGAGGAACCAGATCTGCCCCAAGAAGACAGCTTATTAGGATATGCTGAATGGTGTCATCCTTTTGATCGCACAGAGAGCAACGATTTGGGTGAGGTAAGCTCCTTTTGGTGAGTCCATCCGATGTCCAACATCTGTTGTGAGCAGGCAGCCATAAGAAGACTTGCCATTCAAACTCATGTATTTCTGTTTATCTTTAAATGGGAAATGGGGGATGGCCTTCGCGTGGAAAAAAAAAGAAGACTTGCCATTTCTTCAGGGCCTGATATTTTAAAATCAAATCCCATGGTTCAAAGGTACAACCTGTGAAGAAAGCTGTTTAAGAAGATTTGGATGAGTACTGAGTACTGACCAGACTCTGTCAACCTCCAATGGTGATCACCTTGCATACCTAGCTGAAGCTTTACTTCAGCCACCAGGTCCCAAACATCCAGGAATCCAGAGCTCTATTGGAACACAAACTAAGGCAAAAAGGGACAGGTTTTTTCAAGAATATGCCTCTCTTCCTTAATTTGTGTGGCATCAAATTGTTGACACTGAACGCACAGGCGCACATCAAGCATGGCTACTGAACTAAAATTCAGGAGAAAAGGGAAAGGCTCTTTCAAGAATATGCCTCTCCTCCTTAATTTGTGACAAATTGTTGACATTGACACTGAACACGCTGAACCGAAAATTCAGGAGAAAAGGGAAAGAGAGGGAGGGCAGGCAATAAAAAATAATTAATAGTGTTTCCAAGACAAGGACTGAATAGCAAAGAATAATCAAGCACGGCTGTTACTGTATCGAGGGATGCTCTTCAAATTTCGAAATAACCATTGTAGGGCCAGAGATAGACCATGTTATACTGGGTGATCCTATGCATTTGTAAAACTAATACAAAAAGATCATCAGAGGTAGTCCATTGTATTGATCAATGCAAGTCGTCCCAAGAGAAACCTGCGATCAACAACAACAACAGTTCCATTCCAATTCCCAAGTGAAACCGAAGTACTAGAGGCAGCACCGCAACACGAACTAGCTGGCTGTGGCATTTGACATTTCCACGAATACCTCGTGAGCACGACCATCCCTGCCTGTCCCCAGCCCGCCTCCCCCCTCCTCTCCCTCCACTCCCAAACCTAAAGGAAGAAGAGAGAACAACCGCAGAAGCCGGCGCAACGGGCTCCACAGCCGCGCCCCAAGTCCGCGAACTGCGAAGGAGCCAGTGCCAAGAAAGAAGGAAAACCTTTCCCCTCCTCTAACGCCAATGGAACCAGGCCAAGAAGGGGGAGCGGAGCAGCAGCAATGGTCATTAGGTTCTGAATTCAGGAATTGGGAGTGGAATACCTGCGGATCTCCCGGCGGCCGGGCGGCGGCGGCCGTTGGGCTGGGCGGCTGGCCTGTTTGCGCTCGAGCGACTATGCCTCCGTGGAGTGGGCTACCTCGTGCAAAAATAACCGAGCAGTAAGACCGCCTTGGCTATTGGTTGGCGTATTCTAGTGGTTCCGCTTTCGGTCCTCCCCCCTAGCAACTGCAACGGCAAAACGCGGGCGGCGATTCCCGGAAGCAGCGGCGGGCGCCTCCTATTCCAAAATCCCCAATCCTTACCACCCATGGCCACGCGGCATCTACACCTGCGTGCCAGGCTCGGGAGCTGGGCGGCTGGGAGCCTTGCCTGAGCTGGGCTGCCGCGGCTGGGCGGCAGCCAGCAGCGCGCCTGGGCCGCTTGGCAGGCGGCGTCCGGTTGCTGGGGTCTGGAACGCTGCCGCGCTGGGAGACAAGGAACTGAAGGAAGGCAATGTGATGAACAAGGAAGGGTTCTCTTTTCCTATCCAAGCTCCGCCACTGGTGGTTCCTGCTCCCCACGTGTTCTACGGAATGACTACTAAGAAGAGAACCGAGGGACTGCAGCTGCAATTGGTTCGTCTCTTCTCTTGTCCTTGCTCCCCACGTGTTTTTTGCTAGTCTGTTTGATTTCAGCGTGTTTTATGTACTTGCATTACATGTCTTAGTAGAGTAGCTTGGCACTGTTATGCAACACATATAACCTTGTGCTCTGGAAATGATAGTGGAAGTAAATATTCTGCGGTACATAGAGTTCTTGCCATGTGTCGAATACAGTAGCATCTCATCATGTACATATTTAAAAACAAAAGTAGCACATCTCCAACATAATACCATTTTCAAGTTAGAGTACTCTACATAATGTGATGAACAGGAACATTTGGAAACGCAAACCCGATTCGATCACTGTCATGAACCAGAATACATTTGCAGCAGAGAAACACAAATCCGACTTGCTGTCATGACTGATGAATTAGAACACTTCTTCAATGGCAGAACACAAATATGATCTGTGTGTGACTCTCAATGGGCATGTGCTGAGTTGTGCTTCAGCACGGTGAAGAAGAGGAAAGCGAGCACAGCAAACATAATGCTCATCCCTGCTAAGGTTACCACATCGGTGCTTATCCTCTTTTCACTCAAGGACCGTATGTGTGCTATCCTTTCCCACACATATGATCCATCAGGGAGCTGTGGGCACTGGCACTGTCTCTTGCACTGGGATGTGTCGCAGTAGAAACTTATCGCATACTGAAACAGGTTTGTCCAGTACATCCACTTGTAGAACCTGATATCGGAGAAGAGGACAACCACACTAGAGGCAGAGATCCACAACGATGTGATTATGGAGACGAGGAAGGCGGCGAGGATCGGGCTCGGAGCCAGGAAAGTGATCATCATGCCAAAGTAGGTCATACAGAGTGTGAAAAAGGAAGAGAACTGACCAGTAGGCCAGGAAATCGGCGGCTGTCTGGGTTGCTATCCCTGCCATGCCATTGCCAATGCCCACGAATGCCAATGTTGCTATGAGGAAGTAGGGAATTTCACTGATCACCCATGACACAGGGTAGATTATTGGAAGGTACATCTTGGACCTCATTTCACGGAAGTAGGCAAGCTTGTCAGTGCCAATTTGAGGAATCACATTGTTAGCGGATATAACCCCGATGAGTATAGTTTGCGTGTAGATGTACAGTGATCTAGAAGTCACCTCATATGTGTCTTCATACTTAATCTTAAAATAGAGTGAGCCCATCAGTAATCCAATCATCACACAGCCAGTAAACCTGCTGTAAGTGTAGTTGACATTCCTCCATAAGAACCTCTGTGTCCTTAACAAAACCAACCCTATTTGCCTTATAAATGACACTGGATAGTTGTAACTAATGGATCTCATGTTATGGTCCTTTTCATTTCCATGTTTGTTGTTCTTCATAGCAGTGTTAATGACCTTCATGGCCACCTCATACAAATGACTGTTCTGAAACTCATCTGCAAAATCTGTCACTGCAAGTTTTTTTCTTGGAATTCCAAGTCCAGTTACACCCATAACAAAACTGATAGGATTCTGTGTCTGAAGGTAGTGAGGAACCCTTGGGATCGCGGTAAAGTATCCAAGTATTTCATGGCAATTGAGTCCTACTGGGCCAAAGTAAGCTTGACGGCCTTCTTGAGTTAGGACGATGACTTGATGGAAGTGTGAAAGTGCACGGGTGTTGGGGTAGTTAAATGTTGCGATGACCGATTGACTGCAAACTGGTAATTGTGATAAGATCTTCAAGATTGCTGAGGTACCAGATGAATCAAGACCTGAAAGAGGCTCCTCAAGGAATAGAATACTTGGGTTTGCTGCAAGTTCAACTGCAATTGGAGTCCAAAGGTTTTAGACTCAGTAGAACTAAAACTGAGTATATGAGATGTGACTTCGGCACTACTACTCGGGAGGAGGAAGATATTAGTTTGGAAGGTCAAGTAGTGCCTAGGAAGGATACATTTCGATATTTAGGATCAATACTACAGAGAGACGGGGATATTGATGAAGATGTTAGCCATAGAATCAAAGCGGGGTGGATGAAGTGGCGGCAAGCATCTGGTGTCCTATGTGACAAAAGGGTACCACAGAAGTTAAAAGGCAAGTTTTATAGGACGGCGATTAGACCTGCTATGTTGTATGGTGCAGAATGTTGGCCTACGAAAAGACGACATGTTCAACAGATAAGTGTCGCGGAAATGCGTATGTTGCGTTGAATTTGCAGTCATACAAGAAGGGATCGAGTTCGGAACGATGATATACGTGATAGATTAGGGGTAGCACCAATTGAAGAAAAGCTTGTCCAACACCGGTTGAGATGATTTGGACATGTCCAACAGAGACCTCCAGAGGCACCGGTGCGTAGTGAAATCCTAAGCCAGGATTGTAACGTGAAGAAAGGCAGAGGAAGACCGAAGTTGACTTGGGTAGAGGCAATAAAAGGAGACTTGAAAGGATGGAATATACCCAAAGACTTAGCCCTAGATAGAAGTGCTTGGAAGACAGCTATTCACGTGCCTGAACCTTGATTGCTTCTGCTGGGTTTCAACTCTAGCCTACCCCAACTTGTTTGGGACTTAAAGGCTTTGTTGTTATTGTTGTTGTTGTTGTTTGCTACTTCAAATGCCATCCCTCAGGGAACCAACCAAGTTATTGGCATAATACTGCAAGCCCAGCTGATCAAGAACTAACTCAACATGCATATGCCTTCTTGCTTCGCTTATGCGATTTGTTAGTCTAAGGCTGGCACTGAATTGAAGTGACTCATGTATGGTGAGGTAAGGTTGATGTGCATCAAGCCGCCCAGCATAGCCCACTCTTCTTGAGAAATCAGCAGAGGGTTTGGTGCCATTGACTCGGATATCTCCAGTAAAACTACCACCTAGAGGTGTCCTACCTGAAAGGCACTTTAGCAGTGTAGCTACACTTCTATTAGCACCCCCTACAAGAGCTAGCATAATTCCTGGTCTTGCACATCCACTGACATTCTCAAAATCTATAGCTTCTTCCTTTGTTGCCTTTCCACACCTGTCACCGGAAAGCCTTGTCATACTGCATGTGATAAGGAATTAAAGTACATTTTGTTTTTTAAAACTTTATTGGCCTTGTCTCTATCTTCATGAAGTTGCATTTAATCATGTATTATTTTTGTAATTTGTTAGTTCCATTTGTGTCACTTCATAATATGTTCTACTCTGAATAATATTTTGCTAACTTTCAAGTGCACACTTTATAAAACAGTACGCTAGTGTAGAATTGCAGCACAATTAATTGGAAAACTACCTGACAAATGATAGTTCCAAGAATGATAAAGTCATCAGTGTGACTGGTATTGTCAACTGTTCTGAATCAATTTTAACTCTAAATTCTTCCCTCCAGCTCCTGACACTCGCATTCTCATCCTCAGAAATTACTGTTGTGGAACTAGATGCTAACTTTGGTGACTCCAGAAACTTGTATCTTCCTGACTCAATAGAAGCTTCCATATAACTGTCAGTTGAGCTTGAATAAATCTCCACATCATACAAATAGTTCTTTGAAAGCTTTTTTTTTAATCTGTGGCACAGATTGACTGATTCTTGAAAACTTTATTTAGGAAGATCAATGCCATTAACAGAGTGAGTAGCGTCCAACCAATTAGAATTATATAAGGGACCCAAGGCTTTCCTGAAACACCTGTCAACAGTTCAGCATAGATTAAGTAGGCCTTGCCAGTAGCCATCTCTGGATTGTCCTTGCAGAAAGTAAGTTGGTTTAGATATTTGTTGCAGAAGTCTTTGTAACTATATGAGAACTGTCGATCGCAGAAGAACATATTGGCCCAACGAATTGGATTGATGTGCATTAGCCACTTCCAGTATTGAGGGATATTAGATGGGTAAATCACAAATCCACTGAACAGAAGGAAAATGGAGACTATGAGGCCTGCATGCAGGTAGCAGTTCAAAACTGTTAGATTTAATATGGGCTTGGCCCATATTTTATTTAATTAAATCAAATAAATCCTAGGCTCATATTATATGCTACGGTGCATAAATTGCTTTTACCACTTAAGCCAATTATGGTCAGGAGTTTCTATTCCTAAGTGTGAGCGGGAGTTACAAGAGTTTCTGCTCCTAATGATGGCAAGAGTTATGGGAGTTTCTGCTCGGCAAGAGTTATGGGAGTTTGTACTCCTAATGGCGAGAGTTACGGGAGTTTCCGCTCATGATGATGGAAGTTTCTTTCGTGAGCGTCTCTTCCACTCCTGACTCTTGATCTCTTGTGCCCCCGCTCAGCTTCCTGGCTACGTGATAAAAGCAAGACACGCTTCAACATTCAGACGAGCTCTAGTCTCTCTCGTACACGCACCTCACTAGTCTCTGTCGAGTTGCCTTAGAGCTTCCCCATCCCAATTCTCTGCGCACACGGAGAGTTGGGAGAGCAGGCCTCCGGAACCGCCGTCCGTCAAGTGACACCTGTTCGGGTGTGCGGGCGATCAGGTTTTTGGGGAACGTCTCCGCGACTGCTCGCTTCTTTGAATCCTCTTTGTCTTCTTCCTGGTGGCCGCCGACATCATCTTCGTCTTCCTCTTCAGATCGTCTTCTTCCTGTTGAACATTCGAGGGACGGCGCTGCGTACACCTTCCTGCATCAACTGTGGTCCGCGACTTCAAGCAACGCACTATAACGGCTAGTGCGAATGGAGCTACCGGTGCCTTGAGCATAGGTTACCTCCGCAGGATATAATCTGTGGGGGTATGGCCCCCGGTATCCTCAAGACAAGACATGGGCCGCACCATCAGAGGTGGCCCGGCCCATAAGATCGAGGCGTGCACGGTAAGATTACAAGTTGTACTAGATATTATAATAGTACCAAATAGGATACTTTACTTGTAACCCTCCTCCTCCAGACTATATAAGGAGAGGCAGGGGTTCCCCTCAGGGGACAATCCATCTAGATCATACAGATCATACGAATCATACACATCAATACAATACACCAAAGACACAGGACGTAGGGTATTACGTCGATCAAGACGGCCCGAACCTGTCTAAATCGTTGTCTCTGCGCCTTGTGTCACCATCCGGTTCCTGATTACACGCACCGTCTACCGATAATCTACCACCATGGGCACCCCCCTCGGTGGACTGCCGACCACATTTCATCGACAGTGGCGCGCCAGGTAGGGGTCCCTTTTTAGGGGTTGTGCGTGCTGATCCTCCGGCGAACCAGATGGGATTTTCTTCACCAACTTCATCCATGGCTACCTGGCGACTGGCGGCGGCATCCCTCGACAGATGGATCTGATTTCGCATCTACTGCACTCCAACGATCAAGCAGCGACCAGCAATAAAGCAACATGGAGCTATGTTTCCATCAAAGATGCTAATCGGCCGTACGAGCAAACTGGAGCAATCGAAGAAATATTCGAGCACGTATGCATCTAGATCTATGGAGCGGTGGGATGCAGGCTGCTCGATGTTGTCACATGCAGTTTCATCTCGAAAGCTAAGTCAATCTTCAATCTATAATATCCTATGATATAATACGTATCCAGATACCTACACATACGCATAATTATTTCAAGAATCTAACTGCGTTCATCATCATTTCGTATCGTCAGCGGGATCAAGCTCGGAGGAACAAGTGAGAAAAAAGACGAAGAGTTCAACATGCACGGACATGTATCACAAAATCACAACGCACGGCTGCATGTACAAGCGGCTAGCAAGGCCAGGAGCAATACAGATCCAATTTTGGACTCCGACGATTGTCTCGCCGAGGGGCCGTGCTACTGCCTAGAGCGGCAAGGAAGATCCCAGACCACCACGCCCCACCTCTGCTGAACACGCCCGAGGCCTCCGCCTCCCCATGCGTTGGACTTTGTCAAGCTACGTCATGATTCTGCGCGTCCGTGAGCCCGGCCTTTGCACAGAACACGCGCTCCGACCACGCCGGATTGACTATGACTACGGCAGCATGCGAGTTGTACAATTACAACAACCGAAGCAAGGCTCAAGCGAGCCGTGCCAAGCCGTCAACGCCGCGTCGAGCCATTAAGCGAGCCGTCGGCGAGCCGCATCGAGCCATCAAGCAAGCCACCGAGCGAGCCACGTTGAGCCAAGCGAGTCCTCGAGTCCGTGACGTACGTGCCAGCATGAAGACAAGCAACGATGTCCTGCTCTACAAGCAAGCAAGCAAGGCCGCGTCCAAATCTTCAAAGATCACATGCAAGCATGAATCGAGCCATACAAGCTGACGTCACGAACAAGCATGAATACGGGAATATTTCCTTGCTGCTGATGCACGGCTTTCATCACCATCAGATCAACAATGACTACGAGAACTCACCCTCGTCTAAATCCTTCGGTGGACTTCCGACTCCGCCTCGACCACGTCCGGCTACGAGTCCGAGCGCCCATCCGACTACAACTCGGTATCCTCGGGCGACTGCTCCGCTGAGCTCCGACCACCAGACCCCTAGACCACGCCGACCACGTCCCGAGCGGCTCCACCAAGCTCCGACCACCAGACCACCAAACCACGTCCCGAACGGCTCCACCGAGCTTCAACCACCAGACCACGTTCCGAGCGGCTCCGACCACAGACCACCGACCACGTCGCAATGATGATCGCCACGAAGAACGGCGCTATGACAACCGCGACCACCGTCACAACAGGCCGAAAAATACGAGGATCGGACAACTTTATCGCCATCGACCAGATTTCTATCCAAAGATAAGTACACTTCTAATATTTATAATTAATACAATTTTCATTACGACGTTTCTCCACAACGTCCTTGTCATAATTATTCTTCAAATAACGTTTGTCTATGTATACCATCTTAAATATAACATACAGCTATACTTAATGCAAATCCTCGACTAGTCATGTTGACGCTCGATGCCTCTAGAGACGGCCCTGTCTCTGGCTCCTCCCTACACGTGCACGAGTGTCTGTCCTCTGCGTTATGGGTGGTCGGCAGCGGCTCCTTAGCGACGCCTGTTCCTCCTACACGTGCACGAGCTCCGCGCTCGACGTTATGGACTATGGGCTAGCTAGGGCTTGAGACTCAGCTACACGCTAACTGGTCGGGCAGTTTATATTAAGTATAAACACAAACTTCACATTAACGCTGATGTTTACAAAGCACCAACTGCTTTATCACATCATGCTCATTTGCAAATGACTGCTGAGCGTCATACGCTATTTCTTCACCGCTGATTTTTTCACCATAATTTATTACTTTGTACATCATGTACTACCATTCTACATATTTATATTGCAGGAATTTCGAGCTACGCATGGGAACTTCGTCGCTCGCTCCTCGACCTGTGCTCGGGGACTGCCTTGACCACTTTCTGACCACAACTCGGGGACTTCGTCGCTCGCTCCTCGACCTGTGCTCGGGGACTGCCTCGACGACTCTTCGACCACAGCTCGGGAACTTCGCTGCTCGCCCCTCAAACTGTGCTCGGGGACTGCCTCGACGACTCTCCGACCACAGCTCGGGGACTTCGCCGCTCGCCCCTCAACCTGTGCTCGGGGACTGCCTCGACAACTCTCCGACCACAGCTCGGGGACTTCGCCGCCCGCCCCTTGGCCTGTGCTCGGGGACTGCCTCGACCACTCTCCGACCACGGCTCGGGGACTTTGCGTCTCAACTACATGCGATTGGCGACTCGCATACAATTGGGATATTCTTTCTCGTTTAGACCTTGCTACAAGGCTCATACCTCACCTTCCAGCAAGCTCGGGGACTACATCGGTACGATGCACCTGCCGGTGCATCTTGTATCGCCTGTACGACGATTCGTTTCTCAACTTAACTAGGAATTCTTTTTAGACCCTGGCACCACGTGCCTACGTCACCTACTACCAGGCTCGGGGACTAAGTGGGCACACTTCATCTTGCGATGAATGTGCTCGCTCTGATGGTTCAAATACCTCCGATTCTACAGGGACGACGGTGTCTCTTTTTGACTCAGAGTCAAAGTGGGCACACTAAGAGGGAAATATTTTTCAAATTTTATCTTGAGCCCCTTACATCCTTCTGGCAAGCTCAAGACGACGCTACTCGAAGGATACAAGGCGCTCGGGGACTAGCTGTGGGGGTATGGCCCCCGGTATCCTCAAGACAAGACATGGGCCGCACCATCAGAGGTGGCCCGGCCCATAAGATCGAGGCGTGCACGGCAAGATTACAAGTTTTACTAGATATTGTAATAGTACCAAATATGATACTTTACTTGTAACCCTCCTCCTCCAGACTATATAAGGAGAGGCAGGGGTCCCCCTCAGGGGACAATCATCTAGATCATACAGATCATACGGATCATACACATCAATACAATACACCAAAGACATAGGACGTAGGGTATTACGTCGATCAAGACGGCCTGAACCTGTCTAAATCGTTGTCTCTGCGCCTTGTGTCACCATCCGGTTCCTGATTATACGCACCGTCTACCGATAATC